TGTTCCAAGGAAGAAGTTAGAGGCAGACCTATGCAAGTTGGGAATGACAAATATCTATTCCCAACTTGAGGGGGAGTGTAGAGAACACTGATGTGGACCCCACTGTGTTCATATGGCAGCATATTTCTGTTAGTTATGTCAGTGTTATTTGGTAGTTATTTCAGCTTTATTATTTGTTTATTTACCATGTAAGCAATAAGGGCAATTCAGCCCTTTTACAATTAGTCAACATATATAAATATTAAGAGTGGGTCAGCTGATGTCAAGACCAACCCTCTCTCCTTTCCAAAATCTCTTCGTGTGCTTCTTCTCTTCTCTCCTTCTCTTATTATTCTCTTCTGAAATTTCTTCATTCTTTTTCTTTTGAATTCAAGACTGATTGTAGTCTTGATCGACTACTGAAATCAGGTGGTGCCTATTACAGTTAAAGGTGTTTAGGGGAAAACCAATTCCTTCAAGAGTGGAGGCATTTGCATGGATGGTTTCAATGGGATGTATACTTTCTCATGACAATTTGAAAAATAAATGGTTTTCAGTTTCCTAGCAGATATGCTTTATGCAAGGCTGATGAGGAGAATATCTTGCATTATTTGGTGCAATGCAGCTATGTTAGATCTATTTGGGCCTACTTTTTCAAGCTGTTCAGCTTGTCTGGGTGGGCCCCCAAATGATTATGAGGACATTTTTGGTTGCTGGCCGAGAATGCATGGGATCTTCAAAGCAGAAATAATCTGGAGCTATGTTCCCTTTGCTGTGTGCTGGGAGGTGTGGTAGGAAAGAGATTCCATCGCTTAACTGTAATCTTGTTTCTCTGGACTTTTCTTGTAATCTCCTTTCTCTTCTTCCATTAATAAATTTTCTTTTTTATTTATTACCAAAAACAAGAGATTCCATCACTTAACTGTACTTCTCCCTTTTTGATATGAAGGCAAGAGATCCATCAGTGATAGCAATTTTATTTGTCTTTTATTATTTATGATATAATTGTTATCGGTGAAGGTTGATGACCCTAATCTTGTCTCAATCACATACTTTACTATTCTCTCCTCTATTATCTAATCATTATACTCATCAATAAAAAACAACTGGTGGAAATAGTTGTAAAGAATTGGGGGCACCTTATTCTAGGGTGAACACTCAGGGCCTCACTGCAGTCAGTCACTTGAGGTGCTTAGTATTGTCGATGTAGTGATTCTAGGACTAGTTGTTTTGGCCTCCATAGGCAATGCTGTAACTAGTTGACTCCTAACTATGCAAATTGAAACAAGTTGTCTAAATTTAATATAATGATGAAATCTCATACATAAGTTATTAAAAGTATAAATAAAAAATGACATAGAAGACAGTATATAATCTGAACTTTTCAAACATATCAAGGAAGGCTAAATAGGCTGAGATTGAGAGTAATAATATTTGATTTTCTGTGAGTGTGCAGTTGACCTTGACTATTTTATGTAATGCATATTAATCTCTTTTGTTTTTAGGCCTTCTTTCTATTTTATGTACCCTACCTAACACTTGCAATCAATGATGCCAAAAACAATTGACATGCATTACAGTTGGTATGGCCCTTCACTGACTAGTTATTGGCTAGCCGATGCTTTTATAGCATTCAAAGTCAACTTTGAGGTGCTCAAAACTAGAAACTCTTCATCTCTCTAGGGGCAGAAGGTGATAGGAGATGACTATCTCCATTCCAAATGTGAGGAACCTTTGTCTATGTCACCTATTGCCATTTTTTTACCTTAGAGATTCAACAGGATTTTGACTCTTGGGTGGAGTCTTTACATTCCCTCTCATTGGACACTATTAGACAGTGTATGCCCTTAGCTCCAATTAGATTGATGTACGTTTTGACATTTATTGTAAATGAATAAAGTACATAATTGATTCATGTCATTGTGGTGTGTTTCTGTGTTTTTACCCATAAACTAGACACTTAAGAGACTCATGTTAGTTTAGAATCTTCACAGCCGTTGGATAGATCTAGGGAGGTCTATCTTGCCAAGGCTGACACTAATATGCCACCAAGTTGGTTGGGGTGGCTTGTCTCAATTGACAGGGTGAGACCTGAGGTACATGCAGCATGGGTTTTCTTGAAACCCTAAACCGGACCGATTTCTAGTATTGCCCTGGGCCTTGGAGACAGATGGGCAAAACTGGAAACTTACACTTGACCCCTAGACTCGATTATGGTGCTACACTAGGTGTTGGATTGGGTTGTCTTTGATATGCCAATCAGTGAGATCCTTAGAGGGGGTCAAAACCTGGGTATGTTGGGGCAGTCTGAGAATTCATCTGAGTGGGTGATCATAGTGATAGAATCAACCCCTTTGTCGGACAAACTGAATGATTGGGTAATGCACTCTCTCTGATGGAAACCTAAACTGCCGACAGTTGATTTCAAACGTTGAGATTTGTTTTTGCAAAATATGTTTATATAGAGATATGCATATATATATATATGTATATATGGTTTCAAAATGTTTGCAAAAGGTTTTAATTCCCGGGATCTATGTGAGTGGAGAGTGCAGCACTGTGCCTCGTAGTCGAGGGAGAGGTCCTCTCTTGTCGGGCAGTGTTTGATCATTATGGGCTGAGAGGTTAAGTGTAAGACCATTGAGGGTAATGCCTGATGGGCTAATCTTGCATCTGCCCATAGTTCTTGGGTTTTCATAAGGTGGCTGGATCCAAGAACCATTTAGTGTAAATGTTGGGCCCATTGAGAGCCCATGGTGATGGACTCAGGGGTTCACTATGATATACAGTGAATTTGGCCAGGCCTTGTAACAAAGGCTGGGCTGAACCCATGTGGCTGATGTGTAGATCAATGTTAGGGTCCCACGCCATACAAAGAGAGCCAACTGGGCCAACAGATTAAAGAGTAAGTGAGCACATAAGCTTAATGGGCTTAAGGCCCAATTCGAACTGGGCTTAAGTTAGTTAAATTAAAAAGGGGGCAAAAATCAGCTTTTAAGCTGATTAGGATTAGCTGAAGGATAAGAGAAGTCTTATCCATTTAAGAGTCCAGATCCAAATATCAGATTTGAATTAGGAAACTCTCTCCTAATTATATTAGGAGGCTGATCCAAAGAAGGCTATAAATACGGGGCAAATTCCTCAGATTTTTACAACAACAAACTGTAGAATTCTTCCCCAGTTATTGCTGCCCCTACCCAGTTTGATCTCCACTTGTGGATCTGATTAAGAAGAGTTCTTGATATTGTTTTTTGGTTGAAGAAGCAATCTGAAGTTGTACTCACTAGCCCTTGCTCGATTCTCACTGAAGAATTAAGGTTCTTGCTGAAGAACCATCCTGCTGATCCTGCTTCACTACACACTTTGTCATCTTCAGTGGAGGCGGGTTTTGGTCTTCTCTTTGGGTGTGAACACCTGCGTTGGGAGTTACTGCTACTTCGTGTCAGGTATATCCCTCACTTCCATTTTGATTTCAGATTTGGTCCGGTTTGGATTCAAGAACGAACCTTGAAAATGCAGTTTTCTAAATGAGGGAATACGATTCCCAGATGGGAGTGAAAGAAATTTTTGAAATTTCGCCCAACCTTCCTGCAGAGTTCGGCCATCCATATGATGGATCTCCCATCCCTTCAGACACAAGTAGCTCCAATTCATCTTTGGAGCAAGATACTTATGTTTGTTTTGTAGTGAAAAACCCAGAGTTAAAGGTGGATAACATGCAAATGTACTTCAGGTGAAGAGGTAATGGAGAAGCTTCAATGGAAGGAAAAACGTGGAGGTGGTTGTAGCTTAAGTTCAATCTTCTAGAAATTTACTCATCATCATCATCATCTAAGCCTTGTCCCAACTATATGGGGTTGGCTAATGAATCCCATTTCACCATTCCATTTGGTATAGTGCCACATCCATTGTTAAATTATAAGTGGATTAAACCTTTTCCTACTTCATCCCATGCCCTTGTTCTTCTAGAAATTTACTATTCTTTTTAAGTAAAAATTAGTGTCCACAGAAACCTTTTGACTTCCAATTCATAGTAATTTTCATAATCACTATTTGTAGTGAAATCATGATTTTTTATTTTTAGTTGGAAACTTTATAATTAATCTTGTTATACATCTATAATTCTGTCCTTTGATTTTGTACTTTCATTTGCTTCTTATGATGATTATCTTCAGGTAATTTATATGTTTTATTTGAACTTATACGAATGATAAATATCCAATTAATATTGCGAAGCTTCTGACAGAAGATATTGTGGTGTTAACAGTATGCAATTAGTCAACTCAATAAATTGGAAGACAACATTCGCGAGCGGTGGGCAAGAAAGAGACCTCGTGAGAATTTTAATATCAGTATATCTCTATGCCCAAGGAATTTTTGTTTTGGTTATTTTTATTGATTTCTTAGTTAAAGACAATATTTAATAAGCACAAGGTTCAAAGTACCAATACACCTCTTGTGCTGTATCGAGGTGTGTCAATACTTTGAACCTTGTCCAGCAGTCAATACATGATTTTTTTTTATCAATAACAGAAACTTTTATTAAGAGGAATAGAAGAGAGAAGGATACAACAGGAAGGGAGGGGTAAAATATCTTAACCCTCCCTAAAAGTAGAGATCAAATTACAACAATGCCCAAAAGAAATTAGCTCTTCCCACCGCTTGTTTGGCCAAAGAGTCTGCCAGAGAATTAGCACTCCTCTTGGACCATTGAACCTGAATTTTCATGTTTTGAGTTAGCTGGTTAATTTTCTTTTTTTCATTTTAGAACTTCCACAGACTGAAATCTTCCTTCTGCAGCCAACTAACAGCCAGCCTAGAGTTGCCGTCCACCAGCAGTTTTCTAATATTCAACTGCTGGGCTCTTTTAATCCTTTCCAGAACTGCCAAAATTTCAGCTCTCAGAGAATCCACCCGACCTATAGGGCCTGAAAACACAGCAATAATTCAACCTTCTTCATCCCTGAACACTCCACTTATACCTGAAGGGCCTGGGTTTCCTTCGTTGCTGCCATCAAAGTTCAATTTAGTGAACCCCATAGTTGGAGGAGTCCAAGCTGGAGTAGGGGAAGTATTCAAGGGAGCAGACCAAGCCACTTCTTTCCAATTTCTAATGATATCTCCTGCTGAATAACCTTCAAAGAGATTCATAGTCTTGACCCAATGAACCACCCTAACATAGATTAATTCATTGATGGCTTCCTTGTTTTTTTCTTTTTCATGGAAGGTTCTTTGATTTCTTTCCTCCCACACTGTCCAGCATACAGCTGCTCTTACACATCTCCACAAAATTTTACCTCTCTTTTTTAAACCCCTCAATAAAGTAGAGTTAAACAAGCTCTGAACACTTGGAGGGGAGGGCCACCTACAACCAAAAAGAGAGAAACCAACACCAGATTTCTGATACGAAAGGACAGGAAACTAATAAGTAATAGCAGTTCTCGCCATTCTCCTTACATAAGATGCATTAGTGTGGGGATAAACACCAATTAGGCCTTTTCTTTTGAAGTCACAAGTGTTACACTTTTCTAGGATAGCTTCCCAGCAGAAAGCACCTACTCTGGGAGGAATTGGTCTACCCCAAACTTCCAAGACTGGGAAAGGATAACCAAGGGCCGGATGGGATTGGGTTAATTCTTTGAAAAAATAAGAGCAAGAGAAGATACCCGAAGGAGAAGGAACCCAAATCCTACTATCCAATCTAGAGGGGTCAATAACTACCTCTTCCAGAATTTTAAGCAAATTAGAAATGGAGTCCAATTCAGAATCTCTAAGAGCCCTTCTAAAACCCAGATTCCAATCAAGAGCAGAATTAGAAAAGGTTAGGAAGGTGGCTACAGGCTCATTTTTAAACCTTGAGAGAGAAAACAAGGAAGGGAACTGCTCTTTCAAAGGAGTGTTTCCCACCCAAATATGTTCCCAAAATTTCATAGTATTACCAAAACACAGGTCATACCTGATGAAAGGAAGGAACGATAGCATGAATAAACTTCCAAGGAGAAGCTCTTGTAGCCCTATATGAGACTCCCGTATCCCAATAATTTGCCTCTTGCCCATGAACACTTAGGATTACTCGAGCCCACAAATTATCCCTTTCTTTTGTCAATCTCCACAACCATTTCCCAGAAGAGCTTCATTCTTCTTTTGTAAGTTACCCAAACCAAGTCCACCATCACTTTTAGCTTTGGTAACCATATCCTACCTAACTCTATGGTCCCTTTTCTCCTCCCTTGGTTCCCATAAGAAATCCCTCATTAGTTTTTACAAAACTCTACACACTCCCTCTAGAATTTAAACATAGACAGAAAGTAAACAGGGAGGTTAGACAAGGTTGACTTTGAGGTTAGTCGTATTAATGTCGATCACACAACTCTTATCAAAGTTGACTTTGAGGTTAGTCATTTGTTCAAACACATTAATCACCCATTTTAAATTACTAACCCACCTAATCTCATCAGCAGTCAATACATGATCTCTGAACCAAATCTGGAAATCATAATTGAGAACCGATATATCTTAATGTATTGCTACTCATTTAGACAATTTATGCTACTTTTGGATTTAGTAATAAGTGCTTTGCAAGTTGGAAAATGCTTTCTGGCATCAACGAACTTTCACAACAAGAATTCATTTATTGACATGGATAAAAATCCAGTTTGAAACTTTGAATGGAGCATTTGTCAGAACCTTTACTTACTAGTTTATTTGATTTGGATTATCTAAGAAGAAATCTTTTGGAAATGTTCTTCTTGTAATCTAAAGAGCTATACTCGAAGTAGCAAAGAAGAGAAGAGAACCACAGAACTTAAGAGAATGTCGAACTGTACTAGCCAGTCGACCAGTCCTTTATTTATAGATGAATATAGTACAAGGTACAAGAAATTACTGGGATGCCCCTGATTAGTGATGGGACACCCAGATGACTTAAATCATTAAACAGGATTAGGCCCATTAACACAGGCCTAGTTACAAGATAAGTTAAACATAAGAATGGGCTAATAAGAACTCTTATCAGACGAACATCACTCTAACATTCTAACACTTCTATTCTGTGTTCTGTAAATTAATATAGCGAAAGAAAAATTACCAGCACTTATTTTTCCTTTGATCAGAAAATACAGCAAGAATGGTAGAAGTATGAGAACAAGAGAGGAAGAGGAGAGAAGAGAAGAGAAATAAAGGAGGAGAGGAGAAAATTGTCCTCTGTCTCCAGCCCCAAATTATTATTAATTCGATCTAAAGAAAGAATAAAGATAATTACAAAGATGCCCTTGTATAGGGCAGCTGCTTATAAACTTAAAGAAAGATGTTAACAGGCCCATGAGAGTGAGACTAAGAGTTCATTAACACAGAAAAAATAACAAATCTAAGACTCAACTAAACTAAGGCCTATCTGGCCCAATGTCTCTACACTCCCCCCTCAAGCTGAGCATAGATGCTAATCATGCCCAACTTGCTTATTTATTGCTGCAATTTAGCTTTAGGAACTCCCTTGGTAAGAACATCAGCTAGTTGCTCTTCAAATGCAAGAAAGGGTAGGCAAACTTCTCGAAAATTCATTCTCTGTATATGCTTCCAATTGCCTATGAACATGCTTTCCAAAGAAGATACCTTTTCCTGGCGTGCCCTTTAAGTAACACAAAATTCTCTATTGCAGCCATATGTGCATCTCTAGGAGCATGCATAAACTGGCTAATGACACAAATAGCATACTAAATCCTAGGGCGAATCATGCATAGGCATGACACAAATCAGTTGGTGTAGTGGTAGGTTTGACCCCAAGTTTGCTTATTTTAATGAGCAAGTCAAGCACATACTTACCCTAGGAGATGAAGATGCCATCTTTTGATTTGGCAACTTCAATCTCCAAGAAGTATCTCAATTCTCCCAAATCTTTATTTTCAAATTCAGCATTGAGAAAGTTTTTGAGGCTACCAATTTCACAAAAAGGGTATGGTCTGGTTGTGTCTATGTGTATCCAAAGTGAACAAGGGCAGCCCTAAAACTCTCAAACCAAGCTCCTGGCGATTGCTTAAGGCCATAGAGTGATTCTTCAATTTACATACCTTACACTACATTTCTTTCACATACATCTCAAGAGGAAGAGACATATACACTTCTTCATGCAACTCCCCATTCAAAAAGTCATTCTTTATATCAAACTAATGGAGCGACCAATCAAAATAGCTACCAAAGACAACAAGACTCTTACAGATGTCATTTTAGAAACTGGGACAAATGTCTCTAAGTAGTTTATCCCATATGTATATGTGTATCCCTTAGCAACCAAATGAGCCTTGTACTGTTCAATGGATCCATTTGCATGATATTTTATAGTATAAACCCATTTGCACCTAACAAGCTCCTTGCCTATAGGTAAATTGACCACATCCCAAGTATCATTCTTATGCAATGCTTGTATCTCAATTTTCACAACATCCCTCAATTCTGGTTTTGAAAGTACCTTTGATACAAACTTAGGGATAGGATGAAAATAAATAGAGGCTAAGAAGGAATAATATGATGGTGAGAGCAAACCATAAGAGAGGTACTATGAGATACAATGTGCATTGCACTTTCTCTTACCCTTTCTTATGGCAATGGGGAAATCAAGGTCAAGGAAAGGAGGTTGCAAAGGTATGGGCTCAATACCTGGTATCTCTTCTACAACTAGGAGTTTAGGAGGCTCAATTGTAGGAATGAAAACAACCTGCTCATTCTTGAACCTTTGCCGCTGGTACCACCTTTGAAGGATAGGAGGCATAAATGAAGAAGGATATGGAGGTAGTGGTGGATGAACTAGAATGCGAAAACTAGGAGATGACTCAATAGGAGGAGGAGACACACAAGGAGGTGACTCAACAAGAAGCTTCACTGCTGGACTCTGTAGAAACAGGAAGAGGAGTATCAAATAACCTAAATAAACTCCATCCGACTACTCCTTGGAAAGCAATTCATGAAATCTACCCTACTTTCCTCAACTCCATCCGGTTCGATAAGGGACAAGGTAATAGAATTCTGTTTTGGGAAGATCTCTGGGTAGGGGAAGCCCCACTAAAAGATAAATTTCCTGATCTCTTTGCATTATCTAACCTTAAGGGGAAAGCAAAATCCGTGTTAGGTGTTGAAGATTAATCAGTTTTATGATGTTTTTCTGAGTAGATATTTTATGTTAGTTGTTAGATAGGAGGTGGGGACCACAGTAGTTATGTGAGTCCAAATTTTATTATGTTTTTGAGTGTTATATATGTTGTTTTATGTTTTGCCACCCTATAAGGGCATAGTTGTCTTTGTATTGCTCTATTATTTTTAGTATAAATAATAAGTGAAGGGGGCGGCCAAATTATTTCTC